CCTCGTCTAGCAGGCATATCGGCCGGTACGCTGACGGCGAGGTCGTCAGTCGGCCCTCTTTGCTGAGCAAGACCAGCCTCGCCGTCCGCGATGCCAGTGGGTAGGCTCCCTCTTTCAGGCATCTTGTGTAGAGGCGCCGAACTCTGGGGTGCATGACTCCCATCACTTACCCCCAGGTCCGACCCGAGATTCCGTCTGGGCCCGGCGACACGTTGCGGGAGACCATTCTTCTAGTCGCCTCCATATCTCTTCCTCTGTGACTTCCCCGTCATCCCTTCATTCCAACATCCGTGTCGGTTCCCGCGGCCGTTCTGTCGCCCTGTATTCTTGCGACGGGAACAGTGTCGCGATGATCCGCAGCAGCAGCGCAGGTTCCATTTTTGACGTTGCCAGGGGGCCCTTTGCGAGCAGTTTCCACGTCACCGTCCTATACGGCCTTCCCCATGGGTCGGCCTCGACTGTTTCGTACCAGGCTCCGTTCTTCGCGTTTTTAATCTCCTTTTGCAACGAGCGCCGTAGCACGCGGTACGCGGTAAAGCAAGGTGACTTCTTCTTCGTCGCGTCGTCGCCAGCGGCGGGCACCTAGGTGCTGTCTTCGGGCCCGGACGCATCTCGTCCTCAGCTCCTTGGTTCCACCAGTAGACTGCGCTGCTTCGCACCGTGCCTGGTGTGGCATGTGGCATGGATGCGTCGCAGATTGCTGCCATGGCTCGGCGTAGGTTCTCGGCCTCCTCTTCCACGTCTGTCTCGGTCGTCGTCTTCGAGGCCTCCCAGCTCAAAGCTGTTGCTATGGCAGCCATTCCGTGGCAGCCGCTTGTCCTCCCTTCTTTCTTCAACGTTTTCCCCTGCGTGCCCTTGAGGTTTGCGAGATGTGTCGACAACCTTGGTCATTTCTGCGGCCCGACGGTTCAGTTCCGCTCCTACGTCTGCCGTAGTAGCGGTTCTCATCTGTTGGGCTAACTCCTCTTCCTCCGTCGTTTCTTCGGTCTGCGGGTTCTCCGTGTCCAGTGTGGAGTGGTAGGACCCCTCTTTTGTCAGGGCTGCCCTCGTCATGCTCCTGGTACTGACGTGTGACGGCTCCGCTTCGCTCCCTCCTCCGACGGTTTCCCCTACCTCCTTATCTTTCGCCGCCGTTGCGTCTTTTTTCGCCATTGGGCGCAAATGTGGCCGCTTCCTTCGCACATGCTGCTCCGCTAGTCGCTGCCACTTTCAAATGGCCGGGCGGCGCGCTGCCGGGCGGCGCGCTGTCGGCGCGCGTGCCAATATGGCTACGTCGCGTAGTTCCCCGGTTCGCTCGTGCAGCGGCGTTATTGTTGCGCGTTCGAATATGGCATCCTCATCGCCATAACCTCACATGTGATTTCATTTCGCTTGTAATATCTTTTCCAGACCTTATTCTGCTAGTTCTTATACCTGCTTTTTTTCATAGGCATTAGCACTTCACTCGGATTAACATCCTTGTTCAAATTCTCGACGTCTCCCGGAGATTTCGATCGCATTCACAGCTCCATTCTAACTCCCTGCCCACCATGCAAACAACCCCCGTCACGTCCATGAACCGAAAGCTGGGTTCAGTAACTTAGCGTCTAGAAAAGAGTCTTTGCACTTGTCGCGACTGAGTTTTGACCGACTGTCCTGCTATTACGGAGAAAAGCTCGTTAAAGGCGTGTCTAAAGTACAAAGAAAGCGGATTCGTTGATCACATTTTTCGTTAGGAAAGTAAGGGTAACTTAGGGTGGATACTTAGGTTCATTGTGGATCTGAATAACGGTAGGTGGATGTTCGACGGCCAGGCAACGAGAGTTGGCGTACGGATTACCTCACGTGACGTAACACGGTTCTTCGCCACATATAGCAAATTTCTTTTTATGATTAGTATTTTGGGCCATGCACACCTGAAATTAAATTACGATGTAATTTTCTTAAATTAAATATCGCGTTAACCTGCTAGAGATATTGGTGAATTATAATATAATTATTCAGTTTTTTTACAAACATTGTGGCTTTTTTCCTACTTAGTTCGGCAATTTTCAATTTTAAGGTATTGAGCAATTTCATTTCGTTGTAATTTAAGATTTGTTAACGATCACTTTTCACTGACCGCTATTACTTGTCTTTTGATAGTTGTTCTTTTGAATACAGTGAATGCAAGAATAAGGAACAAGGGAAGCAATTGAGATACAACGTACCTTACAGATGTTATATCTAGACAAATAAAGCTACAAAAATAGAATTTAACCAGTATCAGGTTCCATTAGGACTAGTCAGCAAATAACGGAAGTTGTTTAGCTTAGTGTCATAAGAAGCCGAAGATATCTCTAAACGACGGATTTAGTATTAACATTCATTGTAACTTCAAAGAGCTGTGTTGGACCTAGGCATCGTCTTCTATGCAGTTGACCGAATCTTGCGCATTTCGAGAGTTTATCTATCGTCCAATATTATTTTGATCGCAAGATTCTCAAAAATCCAATTAAATCGTTTTATAACAATGAAATAAAAAAAATATATGAAAACTTCGTTTTTCGTATTTTGACAATTTATGAATAATTGCGTTATGGCTGGAACAGATCAAAGAAAACACCGGAAACTGCTTCCAGTGATCAGTTCCGCAAAGTAGTGGGACAAATTCTCGACTGTCTGAGCGACGGTTACTTCGATGGGACTATCAATTGTCGTTTGCACGTTGCATTAATTCATTGTCGTTTGTACGTTGCATTAATTTCTCTAATGTAATTACGCGTACCTTTAACTGTAACTCAGTTCTTTCGGCACTTAACGAGAGAGCCGAAAATTTCGTCGTTTTGAAGTTTGGCGATCTCGATAATGGTTGATTGCGTAATTTCGTGGTCTTGATAAGGATGGATTACCTACAACTAATATGTCTAAAAATAATTACAGACATTGTGAAATATGCCCACATTGATATTCAATACATTTATTATTTCTTCTTAACATGTTTCTAAAGACGCTTAATAATACCTCTTCACTTATTTGTAACACACGCCTTTCGATATTCTCCTCAGCGGTTTCGATTTGTACACATTAGTCTCTAACACCCCACAGAGAAAGAAATTCGGAGATGTTATATCGGTACATCATTCGTATAGGCCATAATACATCATTGGATGCCTATTAGACGTGGCTATCCTGTTATTATCTTATTATCGCTTCGATGGCTGCGGCATGCAGAATGTTTGTCAGACGTGGTTATCCTATTACTACTTTCCGAGTCTGTAATATCAGCAACATCTGTAGCGGCACGTGAGCAGGAAAATTCAAATCCTGATGTTGTTTTGCTTCGGAGTATCAAGACCGTTAGGACAAGTATTGTAAGGAGTAAGGAACTCCGAGCAAAACAATGTCGCCGCTACTTACAACTGTCAAACGCAGTCGAGTTCAAATTTTCCGGCTGTCCCCTGACCAGTATAAATAAACAGGCGCAATCACGAGCGACAGAGTTCATTGAATAGAGTCGAGGTATTTTGACGCATAAACTAGCATCGCGGTGATCTACCTAGTTTCTCCAAGTGTTTACCGGGTATTTCTTACGCGACTTAAAATTGTACCAGCGGACTCATAATTCGTCTGTAGTTAATTATTTAATTGAAAATATATTTGACACCAGAAACAGACCTATCCTCCACATTGGTGACCCCGACGTGATCTTGAGATAGCGAAATTAATTTTGCGAGGTTGAGAGCGTAAATATGTTGAAGCAAAACGCTACAGTTATGGCCTCGCAACCCACGTGCCTCCGATGAAGCCGCAGAAGATCACATTTTGGTTCTCCTTATTAGAGAGACAGCTCGCGGCAGCGGAAATCGAGGAGATGAAGATAAATCCACCGTCCTGCTCGGGTGCCTCGAACCGGAGTACTTGGAATGAATTGAGGAAGTTGCACTGGATCCCTCGGCGGTCGGTATGACCGGTTAAAGAAGAAGCTAATACGGAGCCTGGCCGAATCCGACAGCGAAAGGATAAAGAGGTTGATAGAAAACGAGGTGATTTTTCTTGAGCCACTACGGATTACTCGTCGACCCGCGGAACAAGCGGCTACTGGACAAGACTACGCAGCTGTTCACGAGGGGATTCGCAGCTGAGGCCGGCGTAGGATCCATAAAGACCATCGACGAGGAATCCCCGTACCATAGATTGTTAGCAGAATTCCCTGCGTTAATTCGACCACCCGTCTTCCGGCGAAGTTCGGTAAAGCATGGAGTGCAGCATCATATCTGCACGACACCTGGACCCCCGTCCACGCTAAACCACGTCGCCTAGCCCCCGATCGACTCAAGCACTCAAAGGCGGAATTCGAAGTTATGATTGAACAAGGCGCGATGCGTCCATCGCGAAGCCCGTAGGCATCACGCTTGCATATTGTACCAAAGAAGGACGGAGGAATACGACAATGCGGCGACTACCGGGCATTGAACGCCTGTACTATTCCGAATAGGTACACGCGCTGCGCATAGAGGACTTCGCACAGAATCTATACCGTAAGCGCATCTTTTCCAAAGTCGATCTTGTGCGCGCTTACCATCAAATTTCTATCGCGCCGGAGGACGTACCGAAAACTGCGATTACTACCCCTTTCGGTCTTTTTGATGCGACTAGTATGATGTTTGAGCTCCGAAACGCCGCCCAAACGTGCCAAAGATTCGTGGACGAAATCACGAGAGGCCTCGATTTCGTCTACGCGTATATCGATAGGTAGCGTTTCGCTTTGATTTTTTTTCGTTTTGATTTTTTAATCGCATCCGATACCGAGGAACAACACCGCGAACACTTGCGGATTTTGTTCAAACGCCTCGATGAATACGGGGTCGTTATAAATCTCGCAAAATGCGAATTCGGCGTGCGCGAAATTCAATTTCTTGGCTATACTGTTACCGCGGAGGGGATAAAACCTCTGGCTGAACACGTTGACGCGATAATCAAAGTACCGCGAGCCGCTACTGTTAAAGAACTGCGAAGATACCTCGGTATGATCAACTTTTATCGACGTTTCATACCGGGGACCGCTCAAATTCTACAACCGCTCAACGACTTATTAAAAGGCACAACGAAGTGCAACGCGACTATTGAGTGGCCGATCAAACCGAAAAGAGCTTCCGCGAGTCGAAACGCGCCTTAGCTAACGCGACAACGTTAGCGCATCCGATTCCAGGCGCGCCCGTTAGCTTCGTGCTCGATGCTTCCGATTTCGCAATAGGAGCGATACTCCAACAACGCGTCAATGATACTTGGCAGCCTCTAGGTTTCATGACGAAATCCTTATCCCTCGCGCAACGAAAGTACAGCGCGTACGACCGGGAACTACTGGCGATGTACACGGCGGTAAAACGATTCAGGCACGCTGTCGAAGGGAGAGATTTTGCGATTTACACTGACTATAAACCCCTGGTATATGCCTTTGAGCAAAATCCTGACAAATTCCGTCAGCTCGACTACGTTGGACAATTTACAACCGATATTCGACATATTAAAGGAATAAATAATACCGTAGCCGATACCTTATCACGAATAGAAGCGATCGGGAAATCTGTCGATCATCGAACATTAGCTGCAGCGCAAGCGGATGATGCAGAGCTACGTCAAATCATTAAGTCAGGTTCTTGCGCGCTGAAATTGAAGAAAATACGATTTCCCGATCACGATGTTGGAATTTATTGCGATCTTACAAACGAAACCCCGCGACCGTATGTACCAGGGCCGTTGCGTCGCGCCGTATTTCAGTCGTTGCATGGACTTTCCCATCCCGGAATACGTGCTACGCAAAAATTGGTGACAACACGTTTCGTCTGGCCGTCCATCAATAAAGATTGTCGAACTTGGACGCGACGGTGTATACTATGTCAACGCTGCAAAGTCACCAGGCACGTATCCTCGCAAGTCGGAACTTTCAAAACGTTAGCTGGCCGGTTCGAACACGTACACATAGATATTATCGTCATGCCATATTCACAAGGGCATCGATATTGTCTAACGTGTATCAATCGTTTCTCGCGTTGGCCCGAAGCTATTCCCATTGTCGATGTGGAAGCGACAACCGTTGCTTCGGCCCTCCTTACTACTTGGATAGCACGTTTTGGCGTACCCTTAAGAATCGCGACCGACCAAGGGCGCCAATTTGAATCGCGGTTGTTCGAAGAGTTATGCCGGTTACTCGGCGTCAAACATTTACGCTCGTTATTTCGGACACCAGAAACAGTCCTATCCTTCACACATATTTCGTTCTCCTTCAATTGTTCATTTCCGCAATATAGCGCACCATACACCAATCTTAGTCGTATGCATTGGTATCTCCCAAATTTCTCCAAGATTGGTAGTGAGGTACATGTTCGACTATTCTACCAGTTGATATATCTAGATGGAACCATATCTTGTCGCAGAAAAAAATGACATATCTAAAACATGGTCATTTTTTTCTTATAGAAATACTGGGAATCAGCGATAACAGCGAATATGTTGTTTTTTAGTTATTTCGCACTGTCGGCGTTTAGTTTCATAACCGATACGTAAGTAATTGCATAATAGATATGTAAGTGGTCTAGAATATATATTATTATAAATTTTCATATCCGAGAGACTCTTAATGAAAAACAAACGAATATTATGTGATAGTTTCAGTGGTGAGAGCAGGAAATATGATGGAGGCAATACAGGTTCATTTGAAATTACTATTGGGTTGCCCGGAGAATTCATTCCAATTTACATTCCGATTCTATGTACATTTATTGAACTATACAAGTGCCATTTTGTTCCACAACCTTCCTTCATCTTTCACGCAACTTAAATATTCCATTCTTCCAAAACTTCTAGGATTTACGGCGAAAAACTTTTCAATATGAAATAAAAAAAGTGATGGTTCTCTTGATGAAGATTGTGATAATTCTCATAATAGATATTTGGAGAGAAGCAAATATTGATCTCTTTTACGTAATTTTACCGGAAAGGAAGGACTGATATAACATAAATAGTATAAGTAATATAAATGTTAAAAGGGAAAATAAACAATTTTTAACGTCCGATTATTTAATAAGAGGAGTATTCAACGCTCCTTTTCTCTCGATCTGTTTGGCAATTAT